ATTAAATTGCTATCTAATGGGAGTTTATTCATGTTTTCAAACATTTATCAGGGGGAAGAGAGGCCTTTTCCAGGTTTCAGTATTTGATTTCAATTAAATTGCTATCTAATGGGAGTTTATTCATGTTTTCAAACATTTATCAGGGGGAAGAGAGGCCTTTTCCAGGTTTCAGTATTTGGTTTCAATTAAATTGCTATCTAATGGGAGTTTATTCATGTTTTCAAACATTTATCAGGGGGAAGAGAGGCCTTTTCCAGGTTTCAGTATTTGATTTCAATTAAATTGCTATCTAATGGGAGTGTATTCATGTTTTCAAACATTTATTTGAACTTCCTAATATTAATCCTGCATACCTTGTGTGTCAGATGATAAAACAGAACAGACATAACCAGTTTCCTATAGTAGGAAATTCTTCAGTACACTATATTTCAAAGATATATTATTGTTAAACAATTTTTTAGGGTGGAATTTTTCAAGATAGAAGATATCACCATTAGATTATGTTGGAATATATCTGGTGTTTTCAGATGAGCCATTTTCCCTACAGATATCAGATAGTTAGATCTTCTAATAACAGTAGATTTGACCAGGAAGTTGTGTAGTTATCTGTTTGGAAACTTGACTGAGTTTTCTTGTGTGCAAGACATAATGAGAACGGACAAGTTTAACAAAATGAACACAACCTTTACTATAAAATAAAATAAAACACAGCATTCGTACTTGTGCATACACAAAACAGTAGCTTCTATGAGATAGTAATTAACTCTACAGCTTTCTATCTCTCAATAATAGACATCTGTATAACTAAACACGTTGATCTACAAACTGAACTTTTAGATCACTAGGTTGAACAAAACAAAGAAAGTATGCTTCATTTCTTTATGATCCTTGTTCTCTCACAGCTGTAACATACATATACTGTCAATTTGGCCAGCAAAGGATATGACAGTTCACTTATCCTTTCAAAACAGATGCTATATGGTACTGCAATAACTCCTTCGCAGGAAAAGCATTATCTACTATAGAGAACAAAGAAACAAAGCACTTGGAACAAGGCAACTCAGTGATTCTCTGAACTACATGTCTATGCTAAAACAACATAGAAACTAAATTAACAATTTTTTTTATTTCTATGAAAATAAAAACAGGTTTTTGTTTGAAGTTAAGCATAAAGCTACACAATGGGCTATCTGTGTTCTTCCCACCATGGGTATCAAAACTCGGTTTCTAGCACTGTAAGTCCGCAGACATACTGCTGTGCCACTTGGGGGCATAAAAGCAGGCAGAAAACATGATGTATCTGAATATTACATTTTTCTTCCCTTCCATGTTTCAGGCTTGTGCTGACAGTTAAAATTAATTTTAAAACAAATAACCTATAAACTCGCATCATGACCAAAGAGCACATTAATCTTCCTTTGTTCTTAAAAACACATACATTCTACAAGAATGACACAACTAACAACGAATTACTAATCAAATACAAGAATAATATTCTTTAACAATGATTTAAAATGAAATAATAGAAATACATATATACAAGAAAATGAAATAACTAAAAAGAAAATCCCAATGATGAAAAAAAAACTTTAATATAGAAAACATTATAAGAACTCTAACAATGATTTTAAGCTGCCCCCTCATGAAAGGGGCAGTCTGATACAAAACAAAAACATGAAGATAAAAAGCCTTCAATAATGATAAGCATACAATCACATAAGCATACTCTACTGTAGTAATGTTAGACTAATTACATGTACTATACAAACTCTACACTTATAACATGTATACCATACAAACTCTACATTTATAACATGTATACCATACAAACTCTACATTTATAACATGTACACTATACAAACTCTACATTTATAATATGTATACCATACAAACTCTACACTTATAACATGTATACTATACAAACTCTACATTTATAACATGTATACCATACAAACTCTACATTTATAACATGTACACTATACAAACTCTACATTTATAACATATACACCATACAAACTCTACATTTATAACATGTATACCATACAAACTCTACATTTATAACATGTATACCATACAAACTCTACATTTATAACATGTAT